AACTATCTGCATATAAATAATTCTATACAGGATTTTCAGTTATTTCGTTATATAAACATGTTATAGACCTACGTATTAATAAATATAAATATTGTTGTATAAGAATGATTAATTTCGTGTACTTTCAAATTATTCAATACCTAGCTATCTTTAGTCGTTCATATTTTCCTATAATTAAAATATTGACATGAGAAACAAATTACAAGTGAAAGTAGAGGGTTTAATAATGTACATAGAACCTATTAAGTTATTTGGACATCGTTTTTGAGAAGTAATTGAAATTATCACATGTTTTAATATTAATAAAATAATACATTATTAAGTATAAAAAAGGATTACATCAAAAAATATGTTGAAAAAATTGATAAATAGAATTATAAATGATCATAGGTATATTCGGTTATGTCAAGGTTATGTCTGCATAATCGAGGAGATCGTGCACCATACCTTTAAACTTTCACTTCTCACATCAGAGAAAATTTATTCTTGTTAAATTTATTAATTCATTGTTAATTTATACGCACAGATTAATAATTCCTGGTTTCAAGTAACATAAAATATGGAATATAGAGGGTTAACAGATAACATGCAAATAAAATATTGCTTCATCGAGTAAAGATTTCGGGAATAAAGAATTTCTGGATCTACAAAGGAAATTGTACCGACACCGACTGGCTTTTTAATGTTTCAATTAAACCTTGAGCAACTGTCTGTAAATACTACAAACAAACGTGATCAAAGATATTGCACTTGTAAGGTACGTCTGAGTCGTAAATAAGGTGACCCGTTAGAGACGGTGGATCATGGTGAAGTATCAGAAATGTCGGCTAAAGATGGCTCATCTTAGCACAAGATTGCTGCATCGCAAACTTTTTGCCAGCGCTTTCAGAAGCAAAATGTCGTATAAACGCGTTCGTACCCTAAGGCGTGCAGCGTAACGTACCTCTTGAATGTTCCGGAGGTACAACAAGAGTGGAAACCGTGGAAGAGATAGGAATTCAAACGAAAATACGACGCGACGAACCTGTGGCTTTACAAAATGTAGGAACTACTGACACGCGAAGAAGACAGTACGCGCGAACATACAGTTACTCACAAAATTGAGCGTACGCCTTTTAAAACGCAATAATTTTTTTTAAACTGAACCAATTGACTTGAATTTTTTTTTAATGATAGAGGGTCTAGTCTACTAAATGATGACTAAAATACCTTTTCTAAATTTTGCTATTACTTGGGATGACAAAAAAAAAATTAAAAAACTCGTTTTTTAACTTTTTTATCTAAGCCTATAAGAAAAATTTAAAAAATGACTTTCATGTATAACTTATATGTGTGCTGCAAATTTTATCGAAATCAGTTAACCGAGAGTCGAGCTATAGGCGTTGAAAGATTTTAAAAACTGCAAATTTCTTCCATTTTTAATTTGTTGTAATTCATAATAACGTCAATTGAGTTCGATAACATTTTCAGCATGGATATTTATTACCGAGATCTACGAGAGGCATTTCCGTTATAGGCTCAGATAAAAAAGTTAGAAAACGAGAGTTTTACTTTTTTTTGTCATTCCAAGTAATAGCAAAGTTCCACTATATATATCATCTAAAAAAATTCAAGTCACTTAGTTGAGTTTTTAAAAAGTTATTACATTTTAAAAGGTGTGTGTGTACGCTCAATTTTGTGAGTAAAACTGTATGTATACCTTCGAAATATGTTAAACCTAGGATAGTAACTGATATCGACTAAAAATTTTCAGGGTATATATAAATAAAGGAGACCAGCAAACGTATTGTTTAAATTTCTAATACTTATTTATTTATTTCAATACTTTAAAGGGAAAAACATTTTTTGTTACACGCTCGGATAAAAAAGTTGAAAAACGTCATTCTTAAAAATGGTTTGTCATTCCAACGAATTGCAATTTTTACAAAAATTTATTTAATCAGTATCTAATGAACTAAATACTCTGACAACTTAAAAAATATCATTTAGTGCCATTTTTAAAAAGTTGTGTGTCTATTATATGAAAAGTAATGTAAAGATTTCAATTAGTTGTCAGAAAGAAACTTTCGTTTTCCTAAGAGCAGGCAGAATATAAAAGTTCCATTTATACCTAAATGCGAGTATGCGTGTAGGATCTAATTAATTTTAACTAGATTTGCTAGCAAGGTTTTCGGAATAAAAAAATGCAGTGTTTTTATAGATAATCTTAATATAATACAATACGTAAAAACGTGGTCAGGAAATCGATAACCAAAAAAAAAACGAACGCCTTGACATCGAGAAATACAAGTATCAACTAAACAAACACTTTCCACATCATACATCATACGATAAATACATACACGATCAGCAGATTGCATACTTTCTATCATTTAGAAACTCTGCAAATCAGAAAGAATGTATTTGTCAGAATTTATACAATTTT